TTCAGAATTTATATTATTTTATAAATAATATAGACTTCATGTTATTTAAAAACGCCATTTACCATTATTTGATAAAATTAGGAGAAAACTTTACGAAAAGGTTCGAAAAATTTCCAGATGAAGAATTAGGTTGGATCCGCGATTAATTTTCGTATGATATTATTAACTCCAATATCCCTTTAAATGAAAAAGAACAGTTAATTGATATTTCAAGTGACGAAACTCTACGCATTCAATTTAGGTCTTAAACAAAGGTGCCATTAAAACAAAATATCGATCTTGATTAGATCCAGAGGATGATTTACGGATTGCGATTTCCCATACGGTTCCGAACATGGAAGCGATCAAGAATTCTTTCCAAGCGTTGACGATTAAAAAAAAACCTCTACTGTCTACTCAGGGGTCGCGACAAATTGTTTCAAAAAATGGGGGTCGCAAATGAAGATAGGTTGCGCACCGCTGATCTGAGTCACAGTTTTGGCAGATACGGATCTTTATCTGTGCACTGTATATGAGCCCAATATTTGCACTTTGTACACCGAACCCATTTTTCTCCTGGAAGAGAATTTGAGTAAGGCTCTCCACAAATCAAACAAAATGTTTCCGTGTCATCTTCATCAGAGCTGCTTCATGAGGCTCTTTAGTTACCCTTTTCTTCTGCTTCCACTTGCCAATATTACCTTATTTACCTTATTACCCTTGTTGTAAATATTTACTTTTGTGCCTTACTCGTTAGCTTTTTTCTTCAATTCCTTCTCTTGTATATTGTTCTTCTAACTCGACCTTGTTGGGGGAGGGGCCATGTAAATTTCTCACATGTACCTGACTTTTTGGAGCAATCTGTAATTTTAAATCGGAGGTTAAGTTCATGCTTTTCGGTGACTTCTTAATTGGTGTCTTGTTTTGGGAATCTAACATTTTTTGAGCATCACTTTCTAGGGTTTTTAGGGAATCATCTTTATCCAATAATGGTTGGGGAGGCACCTTGGAAAGATCGTTATTGTTGGGCTCTGTTTCGACAGTTTCTGGATTTGGTCTATCGGTAACAGTGGCTGGCAGAAATCGTCGTCGCCAAATACGTGACTATTCAAAGGACAAATACCACTTGAATATTATTTGGTGTGGCGGCAAATGGTAAAGCCTCTTTAGCAATGCAGGGAATATCATACATTGTCATTGTTTTTCCTGAATGCTTCCTCATGCAGGAATCCGTGACAATGTTGATGTATTTTTTAGCGGACCATACACTGGGAGTGAAACTACTATCACACCATTTTCCTGCCGAACTGGATGCATCTTATAGATAGGTGAGATTTTGTTCGAAAAGGTATCATCGTACCATAGATTTTAGCCAATTACGGTAGCTTAATCCATCCAAATCAACTTCTTGAATTCAATTCAATACGATAAGGTTGTCTTTTAGAATTCGGTGTACAGATGTTTTTCTAATATCCGAGCTTAAATGGAGATTAATATGGACATAAGCGAGAACATTAGTGTAGTTTTCGTCGTTATTAATGCATCGATTTTATCAAGGCACTGTTATTAGAATGAACCCGTTCTGTTTCGTGCAAACACTTAAACGACTAAATATCATACTACCTTAATGTCTTAAATTGGGATAATTTGCTGAGTATACACAAAAGCCACAATCGAATAAGGTCTTTTTAATGCCATAAACACAATCACTATAAGAAAACTCAAAAGCTAAATAATTTTAAGATCTGACTATTTAATACGGTAGTTAATTAATAGACTTAGTTAATTTTTAACAATATTGATGAGTGACTAAAGCTATTTTTAGAAAATACCCAATATTTGAAATCAGATGAGAATATCACAACGTAGTAATGTCTATGATATTGTCAAAAAACTAATATAAACTGAGATAAACAACGAACTCTTATTTCAATGACAACCCGTAGAGAAAATTCAATTTCTTTTGACAACATAAATAAGAACTAAAAGTTCAGATTTTCACCAAATTATATGTTATGACATGACAATTGTTTCGACAACACCGTGTCTTTATCAAATGTAATATTTACAAACTACCTGCTACTATATATACAGAAAAATGACCATAAAACCTTAATTAATGTTGTTGCGAGAATTTAAGTTCAATAAAGGAGAGGTATTTAAATCTAATTGATCGTTAAGCAATACATTTGAATGTCTCATTTTGTTAATCTCCATGGTTTCCAATAAATTTAATTTTCTACTTTTTGTGGCTGTGTGTAAAATATTAAAATTGTCGTCAAAAATGTGTTTTTCTGTGTTCAAGGGTGTAGCATAATTAGAAACTAGACTATTGTTTTTAAACGCTCTTTTATGTTCGTTAATGCGTTTCTTGAAGGATCTACGTGTTTGTCCAATATAAATTTTAGGACAAGATCCACATTTCAACCTGTAGACACCTAATTTTTGAGATTTTGGACATTTCGTTTTATTGTTTTTCCTATTGTATTGTTAGTTCTGAAAACTATTTTTAAATTACATTTTCACAAATGTTATGAAACTTTTTCACTGGGCTCTCCTACGTATGTAATTGTTTTAAATTGTTCGTTTTTCTGTTTGCTTAATGTTTAACTTCTTTGTTGTAATTTTCTGTTGAGAGTTACGTATTAAGAAATTACTGTTGTCTGTATTTGTTTTTTATTTATAATTTTATCTCTAATAGACGGATTGTAGCCGTTGTTCAGTGCTATTTGTTTGATGATATTAAGTTCTTTGTTGTAATTTTCTGTTGAGAGTGGCATATTAATAAGTCTGTGTATAAAAGAGTTAAATGCAGCCATTTTGTGTGTATAAGGTGATTTGAGCTGTTATGTATGACTGTGTCCGTGTGTGAAGGTTTATGATATATTGAAAAATCTAATTTGTTTTGCACTTTCATAATAATTAAGTCTAAAAAATTAATAGAATTATCCTGTTCAATCTCGAGATTGAACAACAATTTTGATATTTTACACACAGACACAAAAAGTAGAAAATTAAATTTATTGGAAGCCATGGAGATTAACAAAATGAGACATTCAAATGTATTGCTTAACGATCAAATAGATTTAAATACCTCTTCATTATTAAACTTAACAACTCACAACAACTTAATTAAGGTTTTACTGTCATTTTTCGGTATATATTGTAGCAGGTAGTTTGTAAATATTACATTTTATAAAGACACGGTGTTGTCGAAACAATTGTCATGTCATAATATATAATTTCGTGAAAATCTGAACTTTTAGTTCTTATTTATTTTGATAAATGGATTTTCATCAAGTAAAAGCCACATCAGTTCAATTTCTTTTGAGATTGAAATTCTTTTATTCGTATTTTAGGTTAGGATATGGATATTGAGATGCAGTTTTCACACAGAGTAGCGTTAACGTTTGCGGTTACTAGTTCATACAGAGAACACCAGACGTAGGACGTCCAGTTATTTTGAAACCATGAAGTGCGTCACCATAAGAAAGTAACTGGTGTTCTATCCCAGTTCCTTTTAGATAACGAAAAATTCTTTTCACCTTTACCATGTCCATATTGGTGCAGCATTTAGGTTTTCTTGATACCACTCTGACAACACAGGCACTGCCCCTCGGTGCGGAAAAAAGTTGTTTCGAATACACTTTCTTTGCCTAATTGCCTGGGTTGCAGTTTTGCATGCCAAATCTTTTAAAAATTTTATATGTTTTTCAAATTTCTTGCCCTAACAAATAAGGAACAGGCCATGCAGCTATCTTAAACTCTTGTTCTAATTTTCATACAAACTCTTCTGAAGATCACGTCCCATTTCCATACTTTCATCATCATAACCGTCTAGTTGCTCCATACAAACCTTTTCTTTAAATTTTTTATAAAATAATTCATATATCGAATTGATTATTTAATTGTGCCCACATTCAGCATACAGCTTTTGCTGTTGCTGTTTGATCGTAATCTATATATATTTTGTAAGTTTTAATCACCAACTAGACTTTGATTTGAAGAGGAATAGCTTTATTCTTACCAGGAGTTAAATTTGTTATCACATTTTAAGGAACATAGCTAGCTATGTTGCTTATAATATTACCTTGTAAGTTAAAGAATCGTTTGGTTTCGTTATTTCTGTTGCAATTTGCATTACAAAATCATCAAACTGATCGGGTGAAGTTTTTGTGTTTTACATTTGCACCATAATTACCGAAATTGGGCAAAAGAAAATTGTTAGAACGATAGGCCACTTTTTGAGGAAGCTGGTATATTGGGATTAACTGCTATTTATTTAGCTCTAGCTTGTGTTTTTGTTGAGAACACTTAAACATTTATTGAAATTTGATCATGATTGTCTCGCTTAACGCCCAGCACAGAACTGCAAAACTGCAAAGAGCCCCTAAGGTGGCTATTAAGGTTTTTAATCACCTTCTTAGTCACTAAAAGAGAATTATTACTTAATTAGAGTTTCAATTTATTCTGTTTACAGTAATGTTAGTTAAGACTATCTGCAGCTTCGCGCTTACACCTGGCAACCTGAGTGTTTTTTCCTCTATTTTTGTAATTGTTCAATTTTCTAATTTTTGTTTTTTTTTATTGGATGGATTTGTTTAATTAGATTATAATAGGACCTTCATTTTTTTGCCTCTTCCAAATGGAAAACAATTTTTATGGGTGTTATGTCTCTCAAAATATAACATAGATTTGTATATTGAATTTAACAAAGCTCAGGCGTATTTTTTTCACGTTATATTAAGCCCTTTATGAAAACGAGACGCACGGATGGCTCGTCATATCATTAAATAAATGCAATTAGTTAAATAAAAGAGCACCGATTTGTATAATTAATAATAAGCTATCAAACAACTGTTTCCAAAATTAGTTTTTAAACAGTTTTCGGAAATTAAATAAATGCATAGGCCCCTGAAAATTATAGCCAAATCTGTTTCATATTCGATTGAAAAATGCTCATTTTATTGTGAAATTTCTAGTTCAAACGGACAACACTGCAGCATCCTTTGAATTTGTACTTCGCTGGGACCGAGGATGGAACTAAGGCGTAGACCCTATGGCGGCGAAATCCACAGGCTCCGTTTGTCCAGTTGGTACTTCTTTCACACTATCGATGTTCATGACTATTATTTGGTCTTATGTCCAAATTTCTGAAATGGAATAATGGTTTCACAATCAACAAGTTTTGACAAGTATTTTGAAAAATTAGGAAAAATGTAAGAATTAAAGAAGTTTTATTCACATAAAACGGTAAATAATTATAAATTGGCAGCTATAGCAAATAATTTTAAAATGTTTTTTTTTATTCACAGTATTAGTGATAACAACCTGTCGCATAAAGTATAAAAAATTAAATAACTTTTCTTTGTTAACTGTTCTGTGTGTTGTACGATATAACTTGTTATCAATAATCTGTAGCTTTTACATTTACGTATAAAAAAGTACCACTTAACCTCAAACAAAGGAATAATAAAGCAAAACTTTATTTTTTCTTCACATTTGTATACCTAATCCATGTCACTTATCTTATTGTGTTAAAATAATGCCACTCACAAAAAACGGCGTATTCTTTATCCCGCACAATACGCTATTCATATGAAAATTACTATTTATCATTCTCTTGAGAGGTGTCAACAAATAGAAATACTCTCCATATTTTTGTTTGATATTTTCGAATAAGTGTCGCAAAACATATTCGCTTAGCTTCTCTCGCATTCTCTTAACCAAATTGTTATACGCCTCCGGAAAATAGAGAAAAATGTACAAATAATTCAACTTCAAATAAGTGATGTCTTTTTAAGTTCTGCTGTACTCTAAATTAAGAGTTCGGTGTCATTCAAAAAGATAAGTATATATTTGTGCTAAATAAAAATTCAGGTATAAAGATTTGTCATAGAAACTCAATCATTCTGAACATTGCACTGTATGTAATCTCCACGAAACTGAAACTCTGTTCCACGTGCTGTTTAGATGCCTTCTTTACGATGTTGTTTATTTTATTTTATTTTATCTAATGTTATTTCAGTAATTGTTCCGTTACAATTGAAAATCGTTGTCATAGGAATACTTGTATTTCCTTATAAACGGTAAATTGTATAATAAAATGTATTTTCGATTATTATCTCGAGAAACCTGCGGTGAAAGCGTCATTGAAATAGGATTACGAAGCTAAAGCATAATCCAATGTGGGCTAAGGTTTGGCTATAAATTCCACAGGTCAACAAAGATTTTGTAATTTTTGTAACTATAAGGAATGAACTAATGGAAAAACAATGTTTTTCGAATTTTTCGAAAGTATCTGCGCTCGTATTTGGTGCAGAAATAATCACAGTTAAATTTTTTTTGTCTGTCCGTTCTCCGTTCTCCTTTCTCTGTTCTTCGTTCTCCGTTCTCGCCTTTTGGTTTTTCCTGAATAACTTTCGAACCGTTGGAGCTGCAAAATTGAAATTTGTCTCCTTTTTAACCCTCCTTGAGGCACATAAGCACATATGAAATGGCCCTGATCCGATGCCGGATCTATTTTTTCACAATTTCCCAAGGTTTCTCTTTGTAGCGGATTATGACGCGTGGAAAAATTCGACGACCCTTGATTAACCGTCTACGTCGATAATTGAGACGCAAGCTGCTGTGGTAAAAATACGCGTATTTCTTAAAGCAACCAACTTGTTACTTTCGAAAATCGATAAAATCGAATTTTTCGAAAATATCTGCCCTCGTATAAACATTTTATATCTCGGTAACGGTAGGTCCTCTGGGATCGCCATTGATACGGAAATGATCATCGTCGAAAAAAAAAATTTTTTTTGTTTGTTTGTCCATTCTCCGTTGTCCGTTCTCATCTTTTGGTTTTTCCTGAATAACTTTCGAACCGTTGGAGCTATAAAATTAAAATTTGCCTCCTTTTTAACCTTCCACGTAACATTGCCATGAAACACGATAAGTGTCTGAAATTTGAAGCAATAGACTTCATATTTGGCACATATATGCAGCTTTGCCCCGTGACGGAATCTATTGAAATTGGGGGGGCTGGGGGGTCGGGAAGTATTCTCAAAAAATTAAAAATCGCATGTGCAAGGATTTACAAAAAACATCATTTTTCAAAAATCGTTTACGATATCAAAAAAATTCTTGAACCAGAAGACGCAGAGAATACGGCTCCATAAACTTTCGTTTTTGACAATTTTTCAAAAATACACAGGGTGGGCCGCAAATTAAAAAAAATTGAAAAATGGGTCTCTCTATTATTTAAAATTGGTTAAATCTGAGAGACTGTGAACCAGATATCACTTTTTTTTATATTGCGATATAGCCCGTATAGACAGCAAAAACTTTTGTATTTAAGGTTTTCACTTGTTTTACAGGGTGTTCCCGATATTCCGTGCTAAATGAGAAATGTGTTAAGTGTCGTAAATTTGCAGATATCAACGTCAAATTTATCAGAGAAGTAAAAGTCCGTGTCCACATTTAAACGGTAAATATTTTGAATTTTTTTTTTTTTGGTAATTTTAGCTTCCAGAAAAATATGTTTTCCTTCATAATCGTTCACCTGATCGGTAAAATTCTTTAGCCAGCAGACGCGGAAGATCCAGTGCAATAACCTTTATTTTAGGCACTTTTTCGATTATATACAATATTATCAAATTATAGGCAAAAATCTAAATGCTCTAGAAAATTTTTTTTACAGAGTAAATTATTAGCCGCAAATCAAAAAACGTAAAAAATATGGCTACACTGCTTGGGATATTTTAAAAAATCCATATTGAAATCGCTCTTTCGCGGGCTGTCAAGACGCGATGACGTCATTGATTATCACGACGCACTGCATGGTTTCAGGAAACACTTTTTTCAAAAAATTCTTGGACCAAGAAACGTGGAAGATCCAGGGCTAAGAAACTCCGTTTTTCTGGGTAAATTATTGGCGAGAAATGAAATACTGTTAAAATTTTATTTGAGCAGTATCGTAAATTGTGTCAAGAGAGAGTTTCAGGTTTCGTCAATTATACAGGGCGCGAGATATTTGAAAAAATATCATTCGACAACGCTATTATTTGTGCAAATTTTAATATTTACCGATGTTTACTGTAACTTTGAAGTTCGACGAGATGTGAAGGACACTTTATACTTTTACAAACTTTTTACAAACTTAAGCTCTTACATTTGCATAAGGACGTCTTTGATACGAGCATAAATTGAGACTCTGTGATACTCTGGTTTTGTCACATATTAATTATTGTATTTCAGTGTATTGGTCGGCCTTATTTCAGAGGGAAAGAGATTCGCTCCAAAAAATTGCAGAATGCTTGTCTGAGGTTTGCATATGATTTGCGGAAATTCGATAATATCAGTCAAAGTTTCATTAACTCGGGATGGTTTACTTACCAAGAAAAGTTTGAAATAAACTTTTGCCGTTTTTTATATAAAATTCTACTCCATCGCGAACCTATCTATTTATATGAAAAGTGGTTTAGAGGGGTCCATACCCATAACAGGCTAACTCGTAGTCGTGAACTCCTTAGGGTACCTAAGCATCGTACAACCTTATTTCAATGTTCTTTTACGTACCAGGCCTCAAAATGTTTTAATAAATTACCTTCCAGTGTCAGATGTGCCCCCACGATCTCAATTTTCAATGAAAGGTTATTTACTTTCTACCGTTCTATTAAACATGAGTAATCTTATACTACAGTAATCTGTGACAATCGTACATTACTCTCGTTATAATGATATCCTTTGGTTATATTGTTATTCTCTTAGTCTGTGTTCTGGATATTTTATATGTTATTTGGTTAACCTGGTGGTTGTATGAGCAACTCTGTTGAATACCGCCACCTTCTTTATAAGTTTTTCTAAATATTCTGTCAACATGAATAAAGACATATTATTATTATTATTATTATTATTATTATTATTATTATTATTATTATTATTATACAGGATGCATGCACAATTAAATGACATCGATTTTGCGAAAGTTTCATAGTGGTCCGCAGGGGCACGATAGGAAAACAATGCGTCCCTTTACCACACGAAACCGCGAAGTTCATTCCTTTTGTAATAAAAAGCTGTTTCGCCCTTGGCGCTACGAACTTGCCCCGCCCAGCAATGATTTTTCGAAAACAATCTTGTTTATTGCGATGATATTCCTAATCTAACAAAGATAGTCGATACAGACTACAATTCTGAGAACTGGAGGCTCTTTATGGAGTCCTCTAAGAGAAAACATAAAGCTGTTATTTCGCAACACGGACGTGTTTTTGTTTTTGTACTTGTTGCCCATTATGTTGAAAAGAAAAAATTATGCAAAAATCTGGAACTAGATCTTGATAAAATCAAATACCAGGATTGTAGTTCTATGATGTGTGGTGACTTAAAAATTGTGGGACTTCTTGGTCAGCAGTCAGAATATACGGAATACCTCTATTTTTTTCGTGGGTGGGACAATAAAAACAGACACAAATATTGGGTGAAAAAGAACTGACTAAAAAGGGTTAATTTAACTCACGGATCCAAAAATATTCCTCACCATAGTCTTATTGACCCAGGAAAAATTGTCTTACGTTGCATATTAAATTAGGACTGATGAAGCAGATGGAGATGTTTTAACTACCTATTTGGTAAATTTCCCGTTCTCTCAGATGTAAAGTTTAAAGGAATGATTTTTTGTAGGTTCTCAAATAAGCTGATTAATGGCAGACTTTGTGTTGATTTACTGATATTATAAAATGTTTCCTAGGAAATAACAAACAATCAAAATCAAAAGGAGATTATAAAAAACATGTTAGAGAAATTTAGGGAATTGCAATATGAGCATAAAACCATACTTCTTAAAATCATATCTGGCCTACTTTCCCCAAAATCGGGATACCGTGAATGAGGAGCAAGGTGAGAGGTTCCACCATGATATAAAAGAAACGGAACGCAGATGTCAACGTCAATGGAACGTTGCAATTCCTGCTAGTCATTTAAAAGGGACAATTCGGTCATGAAATATACAAGAAAATCCACTAAGCGAAGTCTTTCGGCCAAGAGGGAAAGATCCTCCAATAATAAATGGACTTAAGTATTGTTTGAGGCTTTGTTACTTAATTTAGATTTTTTAATTCGGTTTTGGTTCTTATACTAATAAAAATAGTTTTTAAACAAACCGAGA